AGCAACATTTTATGCTGTTTTCATAAACTTACTGTGTCGTTTGTGGTTAACTGTGCTGACATCTTTGTATTTTTGTCCCCAAGGTCTAAGGGGGTACACAAAGACACATGTTTTCACACTGAATTTGGTAACTGGAGAAACTAACATTAATTGTGATATGTGGGCTCTGTAAACAAAAGCTACTTAAAAATCTCCCTTTCTGATTAAGTCCAGAAGTGATTCATTTTTTTCTAATAGAACACTGGAAACTTAACCACCTTTATTATTCCTCATCGAAATGAGCTCTTTTAGATTTCTAATTATATTGTCTAATAAAACTAAACAGCCAATGCTATTTGCATATTATATGAAGAAGTGTCATACAACAAACTCATAACAGTCAATTAACATAAAAACTAATTATATATCTCATCCACTTACAAGAGTTTCTGAATTCACACTTTTCCTGATGTAGCCTAGAGCACTGGGGGCTTTGCATTTTCACTTCTAAATATTGACTTTTAACTAATATCTGAAGTGATTTCAATATTTTTACGGATGAAAAGTTAGTGATTAAACTAGTTGCAATACTTGCTATAATGCAATTACGTTTTCAACATTAATGAACCCTCTAGAAAGAAAATATTTGCAAAAAATGTGAAATTCATTATCGTTCAGTCACTTGGCAGCTAAAGGCACTAGTTTCATAGCTGAAGAACAGTCCCAAATAACAATTCAAGGTACGTGAGATTTATTTGAGATTGCCAGACCGTCATGAAAACGACAGATAACGCCACAAGGGCAGCTTCCACGTGCAATTGCACACTAACATAATTCTACTCCTCCCTGACCGTGATCGCTATCAAGCAAGAAATTTGCTACAAGATTAACAGAGGCACAGTAATGAACGAACACGGGGAACCCCCTGTAATTGACTGTTATTAAAGTGTCGGAGAAGTCTGGACTAAATCCATAACTCCAGCCTTCCAGAGAAACCAAAGCCCAAACTTTCAACTACTTGTTTCCGTTTTCAACTTGGGACGTGGGCACCTCCACCCACCCCCATGTCACTGCACACTAACAAGCACATGGTCAGAAGAAGCCTAAGGGAGTGGGGGCGGGGATTTGGAGCAGCAGGTACATTACAATGTGGGGAAAGTTCGGGTTTTCTTTGACCAGGGTGCTCTATGAGAGCAATGAAATTATGATGGCTCACTCTTATATTTATAACTTTATACCGAATGAGTCCATGTGGAAAAGTAATGGCTGATAAGAAAGCCGTGCCAAGTGAGCCTGTTTTTCCTGATACAATGATGGCGGCCTTTTCATTCATATTTTAATGAGGTTGGTATCTCTGAGACAGTCTTTCCAGGGTGGAGGCAACCCTCCCCTAAGATTACAATAGGAGTTGCTTTACGGACAAGTACTATTCAGAATCTTCATAATACAGGAAGAAAGACTGAGTTTTATTCTACTTGTCCTAATACTTATTGCTCTCTTATAATGAAACCACTTTTGAGGGGAGAAAAGGGCTCAATTATTCTATGAACAGTCTTTAAATTTACTGAAGGTATTTCCACTAAGTGGAATCATTTTAAACTCTAATCATATGCATATTTTGATAATATCTAAAGAGCTGCAATGCATAAACATCTTTTTCTTTAAAAATTTCTCGCAAAATTGGATGCTTTGGGATTTTAAGATCAATTTTTTTTTTTCTGATCTTCTGGTAAAAGGAACTCTACCAGTCTCATGCTGGGTGTTTTTCCTTTCTTGTTTTTAGTGAAGATTGTAATATAGCAGTTTTTGAACTCTCTGCCTGCAAACACTTTTTATTAAAGAATGTTTACTCAAAAGAGCCAACTAATTACATCAAGAGAGCCAGTTAGCCTCCAAAGACATAAAATTCACTTGTTGACCTCTTGATACAACAGATTTGTGTTTTGTTTTGTTTTTTTAAAAAGGCATAATACTGCTATATTTGACCGTATAAAATTACACTTTTGAACTAAGACACACAGTCCCGTTTGGTGGGAAGTTTTCATGTGGGGTCTGTTTTGAAGAAGGGCCAGCCCAGGAAATAAGTAAAATGGCTCTCCAAAATAAGTGTGTGAGGCCTTTCACACGTGAACATCCATCCTCCTTTGCTCAGACTTCCTATGCTCAACAATTTTTGCACAGAGCTCCAAACGTTAGGTCAATTTTGAAACAGTTCCGAGAGTGGCCTCGACTCAACGTGAAATCCTGGGACGTATCAGGACGGGGTTCAGCGTTCCAAAGGCTCTTCCCACCGGCAGACACTCGCCCTCCGGGGAGCACTGCCCCAAACCAGTGTTCACTTTTCCGACTGGGGAAGGAGGGAGAGAGAATGGGGTCTTGATTACTGTTAGATTTTTTTTTAATGTAAGTTTTCTCTTCACTTTGAAGTAAAATGCCGCTTTGTTGACATCCAGCAAGCCCTATGGATGCATTCCATATGTATCAGATAAGGAAGTATACTTAAAGCATATGCAAGGCAGGAAAAAACCATAATCACCCTGTTAACGATTAACTGTAATTTAAAGGTTTACCTCGGTGCGTTGGCCGTTATGCACTGAATCCTTAGTTTCCGTAAGTTAATAAGACAAACGTTCGTCTGTCTAGGAACCCACGTATTTTTATTTTTTTTAAACAACTTAACAATGCTTGAGTGGCATTCATGAAAGGTGTAAATAAAATGCAACTTGCGTTTGGAACGTGCGCTTGAAGCCACTTATTTTAGGGTCTTTTGACTGCAGACATTTTAAAATGAGTTTTAATTTGATGTTTTAGTGAATAAAGACATGTGATTGTATATTCCAGTTAAACTACAAACTGCCTGGGCCTCGGGGAGCAGCTCAAAATCCATCTCAAGTTTGGGGGGTTAAGGAGGGATGTTATTACCGTGCACACGGTGGGGCGTTGAAAGTTAATTAGTGGTGTTTTTCTTTTGCTCTTTCTCCTTCCCATGTTTCTGTAAACATTTTTTTTTTTTTTTACAAAGTTGACTCCTTATTGAGAAGGGGGGACCACGGTGGTGACGCTGGAGTGGTTTGTACTGGAGCTGGATTTAAAAGCAGAGGCACCGGCCCGCCGCCGCCGCCACGCTCTCAGGCGGGTCCCCAGCCCCGCGCTGGGATTCGCGGCCAGATGGCGGCGAGGCGCGGAGCCCCCTTTGTGCGCCCGGAGCGCGCAAGTGAATGCCGCGCGGTCTTTGGCACCGGAAGGGTTCCCACTGCGTCTGAAAGGGGACAATGGAGGCTGGATACATCAACACCGCAGAAATCGAGATAATTTGTGATTCAGCCCCTTTCACCGTGGTTGTCATGCAAACTTCCTACTTTGATCAGCGGAGGGTGGAGAGGGACAGAGCCCGCGGAGGCCGCGCCGAGGCGCGTCCGGGCGCCCTTGGCGGGTCCCCGCCCCCTTCCGGAAGGAGCCGCGGGGACGCAGCCTCCTGCACCTTGACCTGTCTAGACGGCCCCCAAGTTTTTGTCTCCGTTACCAAGGGCGAGGGGTGCTCTTTGACCCCCGCGCGCGGGGCGGAGAGGGTGGCCGGAGGGCCCTCTGAATCCTCGCCGGGTTCCGGAGGGAGAGGGGCGCGCGGCGACGGGCACCAGCTGTTCCAAGGGACAGCGGAGCCGCGCCGGCGACACGGGCGTCCGTGAGCCTCCGTGACTACGCCCCGCGTCCACGCCACCCCGGGGCGCTGAGCGGCGCAGGGAGGAGAAGCAACCGAGCAGGGCAAACCTGTGGCTCTAAGTTCCCCTGAACCGAAGGAGAATTCTGGAACCAGACCAGGGCGGGCTGTGTCCCCCTCGACCGTCCCCCTTTACATCTGCCTTTTCTCTCTCCCGTCCCTTGCCTTCGTCCTCCTCTCCCTCTCTCTCTCTCTCTCTCTCTCTCTCTCTCTCTCTCTCTCTCTCTCTCTCTCTAGCAGATACAGAGTTACAGCCCTTTCCCGTGCTTAATGCCTTATTCTGCATGTTCAACGGCTTTTACATGTTATCTGTATAAGTATAGTTTGCAGTTTGAATATCTTTTCTGCCCACTTTCAAACATATGCACTTTTTAAAAACCAAGATTTAACTTCTTAAATTATGTAGCTTATACAATTGCATACACTTTATATTAAGAAACGAATACATGTTGGCATGGGGCGGGGGGGGGGCGGCAGGAGTCTCCCTACGCATTCACTGAAACGTCTTTTAAATAATATTAACTCGCAGACAAGTTCCCTCCCGTCTTTCCCCGGATAGGTTTCCTTCGCCCAGCCTGAGGCGTTCCTCACAGACCTCCTGGATAAAGTGTGTGAGCGAATGAACGACTACAGACTTGAAGAGGACGCTGTGACCAAGGAAAAGGCGTTCAAGAGATTCGCTCCAAAGAGAGGAGACAAAATATACAAAGAATTCGAGAAATTCTTTTTTTATTCTGACGCGAACAGACCTTTGAAATTCGCGGTAAGCTCTCTTCGCAGACGAGCCCTGCGCTGGGGGAGCGAGGTCCTGGGACTCTTTTGCTGTTTGTTTGCGATGTTGAGTTTCAAGGCGTTGGACCTCCAAATGTGGTCCGTTTGCTTTGTGGCCCTGCCGCTCCCAGTGTGACCGTGCGTTTAGGAGCGTGGCTTTTTGAGACACCTTAGGGGCTGTGGCAGTTTGTCTCAGAGGAGACGGCTAAGGGATGTTTCCCAGAAAGTGCTGTTCCAAACCCCAGTGACTTTAAGACACAGTTTGCATGTTGCTTTGCTCCTGTGGGGACTCAGGAGGGGTTTCCGTGGGTCCTCCTGCCGAGGCAGGTCTGTTAGAGGTTCCCACATTAAGGAATCGGGTTTGTGGTTCCTAGGTTAAAATCCAAATTAAAATGAATGCCGTTTTCAAATATGTATATGGAGCGTTTCCAATGGTGGAGGGAGAGTGATGCACATCTTTCTTTTTCCCTCTCAGGTTTCACAGAAGAATTTTTTTCCCCCCTGAGTTAATGCAAGTATTTTAGCACAAACTAAGTTAAACAAAGGCTTAGGTATGGTGGCTGGCTTAAAGCCAAATTTCCTCCAGTATAATGTTTGTTTTACACGAACGCTGGCTTCTGGCTTGCTAGAGTGTGCCTGGCAAAATATATTGCAATATATTTCACTTTACTTAACATTGTCGAAGCAGAGTGACGGGAAAGCTTGTTTAAAAAATGTATTAAGTTCACACATTGGCCAAAATGTCAGGCATGCTGAAACCCTGAAATAAGGGCTTTAGCTGACTTTGGAAGATTTCATTTTAATTAAAAAGTAAAAGCAATAATTCAGGGTTCAAAGGACTGGGGGATAAGAATTGCAATGAGTAAGTGTGCTTGTATTTCGCAGGATGTAAATAAACATATTCTAGTGGAATTTAAATGTTTTTAAATACCATTTTTAAATTTTAGAGTCTTGCTTAATGACCCTGGAAAACGACATACAGTTCTCTAGTGAATGACCTGCAGTAGCCTCGCAATTCCTAAAACAGTAACCTGTGGTCCTCTCACGCAGACACAGACTGCAGTTAGAATTTAGGATTTTCAAATGCACGGACAAATTTGTGCCCCTTCTTCACTGAAAAGTCAGATTTTGGCTGGGGGGGTGGAGGGTAGGGAGCAGAGTGAAATTATGGCCGGATCTCTAAACGGCCTGAAAAGAAACTTCCCTGAGTAGCTGTCAGGCGTGTTATCCACAGTGAAATTAAACTTGCATGTATGTTGATTGCTGAGAAAGCTTAATTGTTTTCACACTTCAGACCCTGGTTTAAAACCACAAAATGGATTATTATGTTACATCTGAAGGAAACTGGTTTAACCATTTCAAGGACCTGGGTTCTATAAAGTGTTCTAAAAAAAAAAAAAGATGATTTTCAGCTCCATAAATAGGAAACTAGGAAGCCCAGTTCTTCCTATCCCTCGCTTCCCAATTTAAGGAAGAGAAAGAAATACAAAGGATGGGGTTTCCTTCCTCACACTCGTCTTTCCACACGACTAATCAGTTAGTTAAGTCCCAGGAAAATGATGCAATTAACATGCCGGGACGAGGGTTAATCCAACGCGATGATGTCTTGAACCAAAGGGGCTAATAAAAATGGACCACCTTGCTAACACGGATTTATATTTTTAGCTAATAAAATTTTGATATGATGTTCTGGACGAGCGTATGTACCTACATATGTCGTTATTACGTTTCTACAGTGCGAAGCCATAATAGAGGAGTACGAAGATGAAATATTCTCACTTATCGCCCAGGAGGCACACTACCTGGCTGACAAGCTGTGCAATGAAAACTCAGGTACTGTGTCTCGAGGAACATGCGCCCTCTCCGGAGCCCACCCCTCTCCCACTCAGCTTCACAGCGTCGTTTGTTTTGTTGTTTTTTTTTCAAACCGAGCCTCGATGCCTCCCTGCCACCAACAGCTCTCCAATGAGTCAGAACTGACACCCTGTGAGAAGAAACAAGTAAACACAATCACAGGGTATGTGGCTTGACTGTCCACACTTCCTTTCCTCTATGTTGTAAGTGAATACAGAAGCACTTGATTTCTAGTTGTTACGGAGCCCTTGTTCCGTCAGAATTGGATGGACCCAAAGCACTTTCCCATTTGAAACTCTGGAGGATTAAAATTCCATCCTGGACCAGGACATGAGTCTGTGCCTAGTGCCTGCACCAACAGACGGTGGGGTCTTTATTTAGTAAGACATTTAAAACATTTTGTTTGTTTGTTTGTTTAGGAGGGGTACTGACTATGTTTTTCAAGTTTCCTTTCCCAGAATATTTACTTTAATTTTTTTTTCTGGCAGAGGTGGAAAATAATGCTTGACTTATATTCTTAAACACACACACACACACTCACACCCACTCCACAGCTAGGAAAAATTGCTAGAACTGTACTTACTATATACAAAGTCGAAACATGCCACCAGCACTGGCCTCCCATCTGTTTGGTTAAACACACTTTCTATCATCCTGATACTTGTTTAATACATTTACAAGAATGTAGCACAAGTTTTGCATTCTTTTCAGCTATCTTTGAAATGATCTATACGAAGATAGTGATTGAAAGCCAGAGTAGTTTTCTGCAATTTTGGAAGCTTGAGACATTTAGCATTTAGCAGTTGTTTATAATCAAGTATAACACAGCTCCATCCACAGTATGGCGTGTATTGCCAAAGTTCTTAAAAGAATAGTTACTGCACGTTCGTAGATAAGTATTTATGTCATCGAAAGTTATTAAACAAGAAAGTTGTAAATCCCCAATCACAAGAGGAAGTTTTCTTACTCTAAGTAGATAATGGAGTTGATTTCTGTTTAAGATCCAGTTTGGTTGGGAGTTTGAAGAAGGGAACAGTGAAAGACCATCAGGATTGCTCAGCAGTTTGAGAGCTATTTTCATTCATTTTGCATATGGAAGGTAGTAATTTGTGAAATTCACATAAGTGCATAACCGCAATTTCCCAAAGTACTATTGAAGTTTTTCAAATGATTCAGAAATGTATGTATGCATTAAGATATAAGCAAAAATATGGTAAATGATATTGGAAATATTCATTTACCTATTTTTCCTCAGAAAGGGTTTGGACTTGTCAGTCATCTACAGCAAATGCAGATAATTTGCTATAAGAACAACCACTGAAATATTACTGGACTTAAAGTTTCACCAACCCTTACGGAAGTAACACCCCCAAATAACAAGATTCTGGGGAAAGACTTTGTTCCCAAGTACAGCAATTCGACTAAATTTCAATCATATTAACAATCTCTTTTCCTTCCTTCTGCACGTGTATAGTTGGAAATAAAAATTAACAGCAATCTCACGAAAAGGCAGGCATAAAGCCTAAACCTAAGATCTGTGCAATATTGCTCGTAAAAATAAAACAAGATTAGATAGTTCATTAGATTTTTGAAAAACTGATTAAGTACTTACACTATAAACAGAAATATCAGCACCTCAGAACTACTGAGAATATTGGTCCTATGGCTGTGTGTGGGAGGGGGGGGGAGTGGAGTGGGGTTTTCACGTTCTGTTTCTCTATGAGACGTATTTGTGGATGTTCTAAACTGTTCATAAATGTAAAACTGAGAATATATATGAGTCCTAAAAAGAGACTAGATTCCCCATCCCCAATCCTCCTACTGTTGAAGTAAGTTAACGCCACACAAAGCAAGTTAGCGTGTTTTCAGACTTAAAAATTATTGCCAGAGAAAGCTAAAGCCACACATCAGTGAGAAAAATTCCAGCTAACGATCGCATCAGCCTACGATGTAATATGGTTTAGCATACTGGGTGGTTTCCGAAAACTGGGTAAAAGGTGAGACTCACGTAGCAGAGACGTTCCTGGCGTGTCCATCTGAAGGCCAAGTGCAGTCTCTCTCCTCTAGGAGCCTGGCTTTCGTAGTGTGTTGTGTAAGGCAAGGCTTGACCTTGTTGGGCAGCTTACAACTTTGCTATGACTGACCTCCACAACTTAAGTGATGTTTCAAAAGATGTGGCCGTGTGTGCGTGTGTGCGTGTGTGTGTGTGTGGGGGGTGTCCTGGGAATAAGCAATAACTCTTTACTCAGCGTATACTGTGTGCAAGATGCTATACTGAGACCCGTTAAAATGTCCACATGTTGCTTTTAGGAAGATAAATAATTTTTTAAAAACTAGATATTTCTAGAACTAGAGGTTTGATTGGAAGGTTAGTCCCTTTCTGTATTTTGTATACACTTTATATATATATATTAATATATATATGTCCATATATATACATATATATGTGTGTATATAAATGTATATATATATGAATTTTGCTTTTTTCTATTTAATGAAATCATTTCACTTTATTTTTAATAATTACATGGGAGCACATTCACAGACTTTTAATAAGTTCAGCCCTGTTGAGGTATCACTGACATAAAATTATAAGACAGTAAAAGTGTATCTCGTGGTGATTTGATGCATGCACTCCCTGTGAGAGGGTCCCCCTCATCTAGCTAATTAACACATATATCACTCTTTAAAACATGGAGATTCCAAGGATTCACCCCCTATATACAAACAAACAAATGGGGAGTAATGGAGAAAACATGCCTCCTGTTTAAAATTCAGGATGGCTGTGTTTGGATTTAAAACTAACTCAACTCTGAGATTTTCATAAATATTATATCATCTTTTCGATGACTGAAAAAAATCTCTGAAAAGCTGGGAGATTGCAGGTGGCTTCTGTGGAGGCCACTGTCATTTTATTCACTGGGTGGAATCCAAGTTACCAAATACGCCCTGTCCTTGGATGAGACAGAATAACAGAGGTAGCGGGCTACTCCTTCTGTCCTCTCTCTTTTTTTCCTGGGTAAAAAAATAAATGTTCATTAGATTTTCCTGGTGGAGTATTTTTGGGGCACAGAACCCAGACTTCTCCAGATGGCCATTTTAATGTGTTGAAGTCAAAATGATGTTTTAAAATCTTAATAAGATATAAGCTTGTGATTAAAAGGATGGCTATAGTCCAGTCAATGTGGAAACTATGTCACTCCCGGTTATGAAGGTAATAGTCAGGTAGAGTGTGTGAGGGTGTACATAGAAATACACAAATATACTCCGTATACCTGTCACTTTGGCTTTGATGTCGGACCTGAACCTTTAAAAACACCAGACTGATGAACTGGTCACATGATCACTCTGAACGCAACATACGGAATAAGGTATCAAGTACCTAGAAATGTTTAGCTCACATTTAAGCAAAAGCATTTTTCCCTTTTTGCATAGACTCGCTAACACTGGTGGGGGCTGTTAGATTCTAATATGCAAAATGATTACTTTCAAAGGCTCACACATTTCCTGTTTTAAATAAATTATGTAGCTAAACTAATCCATAGCCTGTCTAAAAAGGGTTGGCATCAATGGCTTCCAGTTGGAAAAGTAGTGTAACATGTATCACAGCGCCTGTGCTCCCAGGATTAAGCACAGAATGTTTCTTAAAACTCATGTGGGCTAACGATACAGTCCCTGGGCTTGGTTATAAAATACTCCAGGAAAAAATACTGGAGGATGGGACAGGAGTAACAATGTGGAGGCCCGGCTTGGAGTGCAGGGGAGTAGATTATACCCATCTTTCTACTTTTGTGTAGAAATATTTTTTGCAATTTTCCACTATAAGTTGTTTAAATGTGCTTCCAGAAGAATGCGCTTTTTTTGCGGAAAGCCAGTGACTTACGGGGTGGTTCTGAATGCCATAGTGATACTCTTTATTTTTCCCCCCAGATCTATGTGAAACTTCTAATCGCACTGAACTCTAGGAACGACGGTGCTACTAGTTAAAGAGGAGTCAAGTCACAGCCCCAAGGTCAATGTCTGTACTAGGTTTTCACATTTCTTCATGAGAAGAAATTGTGTCTCTTGTTTATACCACGTTGTCTCATGTGTGATATTTTGTTGAAAAATCTGTTGTTTGGCATCATGACAAACCCCAGTTCTTTTTATAGGTGAAGCTAAGGGCATAAAACAAATTACCTTTGTGGATTTTGATACAAACAAGCTTGGTTATAAAGCATTTAGTTCGGTAATAGGAAGAAAAACTGAAGCCATGTCATAAATGAAATAAGGACTTAATGTGGGCTGTATATTTTATCACACGTACAAGTATAGTGTTCTATTTGATAAGAATTTGATTTAATTTCTTAAATACTTGATTGGTCATGAAATTAAGGAAATATATTGCCACAAATTCTAGATTGTGTCTTCTGGGTTATATATGGCTATCGGTGAAGAAAATGAATTCACTTTATATCAGGAATGAAATTTAAATTTCTAGAAGCTTAAGTTTAAAAACTTTTTACTCTCTAAAATGTAATTGAATGCATAAAAATACTGAATACTTTTATAGTGAATATTAACTATGTTGGCCTTTCTTACCCATACATTCTGAATTCAAATGATTTTGAAAGTTAATTTGTTATTACATCATGTATTCTTAAAAGACTACACCCATGACCATTTTTTGTTTTGCTGCAAACTCTCCTGATGTGTTTTTGTTTTTTAAGACTTTCAGCTAATATTGAATGTGTAGATTTACTACTAACCCATCATTCTTCTGTGAGTGTCTTTGTAGGTGTGGAGGGGGACGGGAAGGTGGGACCTTTGGGGAAATTACCTTTTGACCACCCTAATACCAGAGTGTAGTAACCACCCCGCTTCCAGACAGTTCATTGTTTCTGTTAAATTTACATTCAGTGGAACTTGACTTTAATGATTTAAAATGTCAGGGCATATTCTACACCGGTTTTACAAAAGAAATTCTCATTGTTGTCAGGGAAAATTTACTGGGTAGGATGATATAAATTCAGCCCTAAAAGAGCAAAAAACTATTTGCCACATGTTCCACAATTGCCTAGAAAGTGCACCATTTAAACCAGTCAACTGACTCTTCTGGAGGAAACAATTCTTAAATTTAGGGAAATTTACCATTTCCATTTTTCTCTCTCTCCACCCCAACTTAGATGCTTATGTGAATGTCTCTTATTTATTTGGGAAAACGAAGAGATGTGTGCTGTTTGGGTTTGTCTGGAGCTTGTGAGGTCCTAGAGTGCCTACACATTATAACCCAATGAACCTACACAGCAGCTGGTAGAAAGTAGAAATCGGGGTTAAGAGTAATTAGGACCATTTTTCAGGAGGGTAGTTAAAATTGTCATTTCAAACATAGTTCCTATCTCTTTATGTAAACGTATCTATTTAAGATTAATTTAACATTTCAAATAGTAAGTCATAAACATTTTTCTCACTTGGGCTTTCTTTGGTAAATGCACAAAAAATAAACATTATTTCTTCTCGCGGAACATGGCAGAGGCCTGGCACAAAGTAACCACGAAAAATGTAACATTTATAATAGTAAAAGTGTTACCACAGTCCTTTTCATACTCACATTGGCAACTGTTACAAATCCTCCAATATAGACAGTACTGATGCTAATATATTATAGAATTTAAGAGAATCTGGGCTCCTGTTTATAACCTAAGAGAACATGGAGGGGTGAGGGGTGTACCTCCTTTTCCACTGATGGATGTTTCTAATGCATGTTGATGCTTCTGTTTTGACTGGAAGAACAGTGCATCTTGCCTCTGATTGTGAATATCTAAGGTTTTGCTAACTATGACTTTTTTCAGTTTTTTATTTCCCAGTAAAAAATAGTCTTGTCTCTTACAAGATGTGTGTGATATCTCAGGACTTATATGTTTTTTCCTTCCCAGAATTTTTTACCAAACCAAACTTATTAAATTCATGTAAATATTTATAGTTTCCTAAGTTACGGATTGAAACTACATTTGAGTGATAGAAACCCCCGTATTTCTTATGGCTGCTAAGATTCATAAGTTTCCCTCTGGGTCACGGTAAGGTTGAGCTGCTTTTGCTAATAAACAGTAATTAGACGGAGTAACTGTTCGCTTTAGAGCGTCCCTCTCAACCACATTCCTGCCTTTTTAATGACATTTATTGACCAAAACCAAAACAAAGGCAGAAAGCCAGGGGAAACAAAACAAACAACACACCTAGGATGTGACAGAAAAGTTTCTCAGAGTCAAAGAAAAGCAACCTAATTCCAGGTCAAAACAATTCCTGGAGGAAATTCCTGGGGGGGGGGGTTGCTTATTAAAATAATGAGGAGACAAGACATGTTTGAGGCCATGGCTTCGAATTGTACTTTTATGAGATGGTTTCTTTGGGTCTCCATGGAAGACTTCTGTGAACCTGTTCTCATAAAGAAAAGACCAAATTGGCTGAGATGAACAGTTTATATTTGTTATGTGGATTACTATTTGCTAAGAATAAGCCACGAGCAACAAATCCATTTCGCTGAGGAGTGTAGAGTGGAATGAGCCAAGGTCCCAAACGGGAGACATCAATACTTTATTTCCTAAGACAAGCCCTGAAAACATAGAGCCAATAGCTGGTTATATATTTTTTTATACCTCTTTCTCTGCTTAGGTTGATATTTATTCATGTATGGGATAGCTTGATCGAAATAAAAATTTTTAATTATGTATCAGTCTTAAAATTCAGAAGGTAATGGAATATGAGAAGAAGCTATTCTTTGCAGTGATTTTTGTGGCCTGTTTCAGAACTGGACACAAATCGGTGAGCTTGTCTTAAATCTGACGCCCACTCAGTGACATATGGCACAGCCTCATGCCAAAATGCAACTAATAATACTAAATCGTCACAACAGAAAGATGCCTGTTAGATACAAGGGTGTTTTTGTTATGATTGTCGACCTATAATGTAATGTCCCTTTATAAGTTTCTTAAATTCCTCAGATAATTTGTTTTTAGAGCGAGGAACTAAATAGACGGAAGATCAAATACAATACATGAAAGATGAAAGCTGTAAAAACTCATGGCCCTTAAACCGCCTAGGAAAAGATGTCATAAATGACACTGTCCTTTGGGGGGACTCTCCTTGCCCTAACTGTGTATTTGCTGGAGGGAGGTCTGCTCTTTTTGTCCAAGGAGAAGGTGACTAAATTTAATATATTAGCTCACGTGTCTGTCAGGGCATCCCGTGAAGAGTCAGGCTTTGCCTCCTAAGGGCAGTTTGGGGAGGTGGGGTCCAAACATCCGATACAGCTGTCTGCCCTTCCAAATCCTCAGGACTTAAGGGATGGTGTGTAGGTAGGAACGCAGACACAGAGACACACACATGCACAGATACAAAGTGGGGTCTCGGGGACGTCAGCCAGAGCTGTGAGCACTACCAGGTGGAGAGCTCAGAGAAAAGGGGTCTAAAAATGTCCTTAGTTCCTCAAAGAAAAAAAAAACACGTTATTTCTATGTTCCTCCTCTTGATTTTCAAGAAAGAAAGAAAAAATACTCTCAGTTACAGCACAGTTAGAAAATCTTCGACCTCCCAACAGACGATATTTGCAAAGCACATTCAGCCTGGTAAGAAGTTACTGGAAAACAAAAACACCATGGGTTTCACTGGAAATACAGTAGTATCTCATTCTAATGTGGCTATTATGGAACACAGACGTTAAGAAGCCATTTGTGGGGTCAAAAGCGTGTTCCCCCCAAAACAGAGTAGCACCAAGTAAAAGCCCAAAGCGATGAGGTAAACCATTAAATAGAACGCAGGGAGTCCGTCCCGCCAACTGCGCAGCGTGGGGCAAGTTCCTGACCTGCAGGCCTGGTGGGTTTACGAGACGACTCCGAGGCGTGCATGCCTTCCCCTGGGGCTGCTAAAGAGTCTACCGACTCCCATCTCCTCTCGGGAGTGGTAACAAACCAGTATCTAAGGAGCACAAGGTACAAAGCGGAACACCGGACGCCCAGTGGCAGCTAATGAAACCAGGCGGATACTCGGGAAGATCCTGGAAGTGCTACATGCAGATATTAATACCAATTTCCAACTTTATGAACAGGGAGGTTGGCACCTGAAGACTTTGGATGTACTCCTAACATTTCCTATGGAGGGTTTGCCTCAAAGCTGCTTTCTGAGCAGATGGGACTGTCTCCAAGCGTATTCTGTGATGCCGGCTGAGAAACGGTGACGATAATCCTTGAGGTGACGCCATTGTCACCAGAGAGGGAGATTTCCATCAGGTGGTGCTCATTGTCTGAGGGGAGTGGTCTTCATGGCTTCGCTGTTCTTCATCGAAGGGCAGTGATTAAAGCACCTTCATGCCCTGTGGTTTGTCGAAGAAAGCAGAGGACCAAAAAATAGACTATTTGGTCCCCATAAAAAATGGACCCTATTTAAAGCAATGGGATATTAAAACTGAGCAAAATCTAATACAAGTACAGGTTCAATAAGTGTTATTAAATTATTAGACCTTTAGGTGAAAATATACACTTGAACTGCCTTTATATGCAATGAAAGCCGTGATTAAATATTAATGCCATAAGATTAAAGGGTCACTTGAATGGGGTTTTTTTGGAAGCAATACCCCCAAATGGTGAACAGGACACGTTGCTGGTTAGCTGCATTTGTATATTTTGTGGATGCTAAAACCTGGACCAATGGGAGAGTGAGAACGCTAAGGACCTGAGTCAGCTGTGCTTGGCGGACACCCTGTGTGCCTGCAGGTAGTTGTGCAGAGATGCCTCCCTGCCAAAGCACAGAAAGCTCAGTGACTGTCATGTCCACCCCGCAGTGCCACCGTAGGGACCTTCCACTGGGAGGTAGAAGCGACCTGGGGCAGCATCCGTGTGACGACACACGCCCTTAAACAAGCTGAACAGAAGCTGCTGGTTTTCCATACTGATAGGTGGGATACACTGAATCTTAAGAAATGATTTAAAAAAAATTTTTTTTAAACAATTGCTTTTCCTCCTACTTGATGGCTGAGCCTCCAATCCAGCACACCCTTAGTTTCTCTAGTTCCTATGACTTATTCCCAAAGTGGAAGTTTTCTCTTAGGCACTAACCGTGCTGAGTCACCTCACAGTCACCCCATCATGGTGGGAAGCAGGGGAACCAGGGACCCCCAATCTTCTCGTGAGGCGGGCAGTCACATGCCCCCTCCCACAGCTCTGGCTGGCACCCAGGGGCAGGCAGGTGGGCAGGGAGCCCAGGTCAGCAGCCCCCTTGTGGCGTCAGGGATTCCCACACCATCCTGTGTCCCTGCTCTGAGTCTCCCATGCCCTGAGCCACAGCTGTCCATCTACATCCTGGTCCCTGAGGAGCACACACCTGGGCCAGCCTGTCAGGCTCATACAAAGCCTTATGGAGGGGAGGTGTGCTTATCTGCCTCCCCATCGGTTCGTTCTCTCGGGTTTGAAACTCAGGGAGCCCGGAGCACAGCATGGCCCTTCCCTGGAGCTGGCCCCATCAACCAAGCTTCATATTTACATCTGACACAGCAGCGTGTGGGCTGCAGGAACCTTCCCCGAAGTTCTCTGTGCACATCCTTGCAGGCGCCTGGGGAAGGGGCCACAGGGGCCTCCCAGCAGTGACGCAGTCCCCAGGTCGGGGGCACCCATGGGCCTGCACCTCTGCCAAACATTGGGAACCTGGCCGCTGTCCTCGCACTGGGGTGCCTCTCGTTGACCCCCGCCCAGAGCAGAAGTGCCGCAGCCTGCACGGCACCCAGGAGATGTGTATGCACCCTTCTGTTGCACAGGGTGTTTGCCCACTCTTTTCAGTTTTGTGCTCATGGGCACGTTTCCTTGAACACCTATGCATTGTGAGGCCCTGTGGTGGGCAGGACACGACAAAAGGGGGTGCCTGGGCAGCGCACCCTCCACGTTCAGAAAGGGCGAGGCAGCCCTGCCCATCGGGCCTTGGTCACAGGGGGACAGGGAGAGACCCCGCCGGGATCTTTGACACGAAAGCTGGAGCCTGCCTCGCGCTGGACGAGGAAGGTGACCCTCGAGGGTCACCTTGAGGTCAGCAGACACAGAGGAGGCCCAGGCCGGGGGGAGTGAGGAAACGCTGGCACAAAACCGCTGGTGGGAGAACCTGAACTGGAAAAGCTGTTCTCTGGCCAGTGGCCTGAGGTGGGAGGGGGGTGCTCCGTGTCTCTGGTTCTGAGAACAGAGGAGCAGGACACCAGTGGGAAGGTCAGAAGGACTGGGCGCCTGCGTGGGCCAGAGACTGGACGAGCAGTCCTCCCCACCCCCTACAGGACGTCACAGTGGAAGGGCGTCTCCCCAGGTAGAATGTGACCCCAGGCCATGGGACAGAGAACGGGGCCACCCACACCTGGAGCTGGACATGGTACTGGACTCGCCGTGTGGGCTTTCGTAGAACTCCAGTGGCTGCCGGGCTTTACTTGAGTTTCAAGCTCAACACAAACGCAGACTGTAGAATAATTTCATCCATTCTTGCTAACTTTCGGAAGAGTAGAAAGCAGTTAACTCCTATTTGCTTAGGAGTTTAGGTTCTTCCAGTGCCGGGGGGGTCGGGGTGCATGGGAGGAGGTGGGGTCTCTGACGCATTGGGTTAGGTGCCTGTGGCCAGTTGTGTACTGGTCATCGTGGCCTCTGAAAGCCTAGTGCAGAGAGAGAACCCCCAGCTAGGCCAGGAATGGAGGGCCCTGGCCCAGCTGGGGTCCCCTTTATCGAGCATGCAAGGGGTGGACTTCCCTTGTGGGTTGCTGGTGTATCTGCCGGCTTGACCACCTCAGCCTTGAGCCCGCTGAGTGGACGTTGCTGATTCACTCTCCCCCGTTCTCCTCAGAAGGCCACATGCAAGATCACATGGGTGAATCGGGGCCCACAGGGGCCACGCTGTGGGAACCCTCAGTCTCTGAACACTTGGGAAGAGCCGTTCAGACCACAGCAAGCCTGGGCCCTGGACGGGTGGGTGACCGGTGCGACCTCAGTCTGTCCCTGACCTGGCATCCTGCAAAGGAGGAGGGCAATTCGACCTCGGTAGCCTGCGTTTCTTTCTTTAAAACTCGACAAAATGAAAATCACCCCAAAGTACCAATTTTCTTATAAGAATAAATACATGTGTTTAGAAAGTATAGATTTTAACCATATGTTAGGTCAGTGAGACCATTTCCATTTTGCTGTTATTGTGAACAACACAGGGACGGATTTGGGCGGCTGCGTCTCCAGGAAGCTGCCGTGCAAACGACGAGCATGTGAGAAGCCGGCACCGGGTCCGCGGTGCGAGCCAGCCGATGGCGAGAGGGGGAGCAGCTGCCAATGTACTCTTGGTCTCTCATTGTTCTAGGAGTGTCTTAGGCAGCCCTAAATCCATGGTACCAACGACACTCTGAATCCAGGCCGACGCCAGTCATCCCAGGGCGATATGGCACCTCCGTAAGTGAGGGCCCAGGACAGTCCTGCCCCATTGGGAACGTGTCCTGTCTTCAGTCCAGAGAACCTGGACAAAGCCAAACCCCGCCCAGCACCCAGAGCCGCCCTCACCCCCCAGTCGTCCCCAGCAGGGAGGCACTGAGCCCTGATGTGAGCTCTGCATTGCTTTAGTGCTAGCTGGCGACGCACATGGCCCTTGACAAACCCCTCCACGGCCCCGTTTCACGTCACCCTCACAACAAGCTTGGGCAGAAACGCACATTTCCACCTATGGGTGAAGAAGCCAGAGTCTGGAGAAACCTGGGTGACCAGGGTCAGAAGCCCAGGTGTCCTGGCTGCAGGCTCAGCGGGCTTCCTGGTGGAGGTGCCCCTCCAATGGACTGAAGGGCGGCCCCTGAGAGGGATGGTTTGGACAGGATGGTCCTCGCGGCCCCTTGGGCTCTGACGTCAGGAGAACCAGGCGGCAGGCGCTGGGCCCCAGTGCCTCCCCCAGAAGTGTCCTTCTCAAAGAGCAGGTCTCTGGGGGCAGTGTCACTGCTGCTCGTTAAAGCAGGTCAGACATGGGCTTGTCCACAGGTGACAGCTCTCTTAAAGCTCATGACAGGAAAATGTGCGTCACCCAGAGGCAGGACACAGCCCCAACATGTGCTGTGAGGGTGTGCGGGGCTGAGCACAGGGAAGGGACGGGGCAGCACAGCCACTTGCTGTCCTCCTGGGGCAGGTGAAGCATTCGGGTCCCTGAGGCCGGACACTGCCCATGTCTGCCCGGAAAGCCAGGCGCGGAACCACTCTGGAGGGACTGGTTGCTCTGAACACAGCGGTTCATTGATTGTCCGCCATCGTGATAAGAACTCTGCTCTTTGAACTTGCCTTCCCTCCCTTCTCTGCCCTCGAGAGCAGCTTGTCCTTGAGCAAACGCCCAGTGTCCTCTGAGGCGGAGCTTCCTAACCTTTTCTTAACATCTGTCCCGGAGCCTGTTGGCAGACTCTGGAAGCCATGGCCACGCCCTTCTTAGATGAATACATTTAAATACATAAAACGAAAGACACAAGATTACAGGGAAACCAATTAGATTAAAATAGTTATAAAATATATTCCAATCGCAATGTGTGTTCTTTACTAACGGAACAGCAGCATCTAGCAGCAGGTCTCATCAGTGTGGACAAGTGATGAGCAGAAACGATACTCTGATCTCTGCAAAAAACACACTGTAGCGCGATGTGGAAATAACTGTGGTTTAAATTGGCGACATTGTCACAGGCAGGCAATGCTGAACCCTCCTGTGCATTCGTTATGTCTGTTTCACAAGGAGAAGTTCTGATAAATTTTAGCTAGAGGTAGATTAGCGAGAGCAAGGACGAATTCTCCCACCCAAGTTCAGAGAATCCAGATTAAGAACTCCTGAACTAAATGAAGTGAATGGCAATCTGTCATCCCATTTAGAGGAGAAACGGAGGCCCAGAGATGCTGCGTGGGGCTCGGGAACGCGCTGAGTCGGAGCCCCACACAGACCGGCGGTCGAACGCGTTGACCAGTCCGTGCTGCCTACCTCCTCCCCCTCATTTTTGGATATAAAATGACACAAACAGAGAGATTTCACCCCGAAACTCTCCCCAAAAGATCAGCTGACACCGTTTACTACTCGGGG